GCATTTGTGGTTGATGAGTTATAGCCGTTCAAAGGTAACCAATCACACTTGCGTTTCTTTTGTGGGCCACTGTATATAACCTTTTTCATAATTGGTCAATTGTTGCAAAGATTAAGGAAATAATTCAGGAATCAAAAGGATTGATTTTTTTTAATAAATCATGCGACTTATTTTTAAGAATGATAATAAGTTCTTTTTTTAGATTTCAATAAATTGACTTTTTTTTGTTACGAAGGCGTTCTAAAGAAATGATTTTATTTTATAAATAAATCCACGCGCTTTATTTGAGAATGATTTAATTATGCAAAGAAAAAATTACGGCATCACAAAAGATTGATTGTTTTTTTAGTATTTTGTAATAACAATAAATAATCTTTAATAAATCGTAATAAGCATATGAAAGGTATACTATCTGGTGAATGGTATAAGTATTATTATCTCAGTAAAAAACTAATCATTTTTTTCCAACACTTTTTACAGCAACAGTATTTACAGCACTTGTTAAAACACTTTTATCAGCACTTTGATTAGGTCTTCCATCTCTTAGGAATTTACATTCATTGTAACCTAATTCTTTAACATCCCAAGAATTGTAGTCATAACCCATAAATACCAAACATGCATCACTTGTATAATATTTATCAATATAATAAAAATAAGGAGTACCTTGTTGGATACGAAAATAAATTCGATATGTTGTAGTACTATCTAAAGTTTGCAAAGTTATAACGTCATTTTTAGGAATTACTCCTGAATCACCATATTGGGGCATATGACCTCCACAATAGAATTTAATATAATCATCATGATGATTTAGACCTTGAGGTATATAGGTTATGAGATTATGATTCGAATCTTCCATCCAAACACTACAAACATCAACGTCTAAAAAAAAATTATTAATATATAATTTTTCATAAAATTTAATCATTAAATTTAAGACTTTCTTACTATTTCCAAAGAGTGGCATGATTAGAATCTCGAATGCTATTATATATCAAATGAATAAATTAAATTGTTATAATAAAGAATCGATTTAATATATATTTAAAAGACATTACCTTCAGTGCCTGGTACAAAAGGTGTGATACCCATTAAACAAAGGATAATGGTAAGAATGGAAAAAGTTAGACGTTGCATGATGAAAATTGCTATTGATATATTAATTTTTTTCAAGATATAACAACAACTTATCTCGAGAAAGGTACGTGTATATATATATAATTTTTTAGTGAAAAAGAAAATCACATACTTTTTTATTTTCTTATTAAATTTATTTAGATATTTGTTCTTTTTTAAATCAATTAATTGAATTATACTCGATATAACAAATCTATACGACAAAAAAATAGAAATTACCTAAAATTGATCTTTTAATTCTTTTAATTGTTGTAATACAATACTATTGTCTTTTTATGCCGAAAATCTTGACATATCGGCAGATTGCCCTTTTTATATTTGTCAATCCGCATGTGATGCTAGTATTTACTCAATTTTAATAACAAATATTAAATACTTTTAACAGAATAGCGTTGTTCCCATAATTAACTTCATTCTCTGATTCAGAACTAGATGATTCAGTAGCAATCTCATCAAAACATATGGGTCACTCCGTTTATATCACGGACATTTAAAATGTTTACCGATTTATCGATAAATAATAATACGCGCTTTTATCATGCCAAGAGCTAAAACATTTTTATGTGCCCTTTGTTCAAGCACTCATAAATCAAAAAAAAGCTCTCCGGACACAAACATCGTAATAATAAAATTATACCGCACTACTACTTATTTCCGACCAAGTTTGACGTTGAACTCAAAAAATACCAATATGGAATTGTCTTTCTTATTAACAAGCGACTAGGATTTAATCGAACAAGTATAGGTCGTCGCCATATTCATATAGACTTATTCTCTGAGCATATTTTTGCATATTTGTTTAAAAGTGAAACAACCTTTAGTTATAATCCCTTACAACGCAAATATCAATGTTATTTTGAAGGAGTAGGAGGTGGACAAAAACTGGGTTTACTTTTAAATTATTCCAACTGGGATACTAAATATCATAAAAATGGCCGCACGAGAGGTTATGTTTGCATGAATAATTCAGATGAGAAATATAAAATCAAATTTTTATGGCGTGAAAATAAATTACAACAAGAATCTTATGAATTTTTATGTGGATCTCTTGTAGGTGAATTTTATGTGACTTCTGGTGATTTTATCGAACGTAAGAGAGTTAAATAAATATTTGATATTTATAATATATTACATTAAATTTATATATTGCATTTATAGTCTTACAGATGAATTTTCCAATCCAACTTTACAGTCTGAAAATGCAATGTTAGGGTTACCATTAGAATTTAATTATTCTATACATTCTTTTATAGAATTTTTAACAATGTAATATAGATAGATGGTATATAATAAAATAAATCAATTAATTCATAATGAATTAAAAGCATTAAAAAAATCAATTTATTTTGTTTTTATTATATATTTTCATTATTAATAACACGAACTTTTCACTGAAAAGCAACAGGTGTATTATAAATCAAATAATAAAATTGATGTATTTCATAGACCATAATATCATAAACTACTGGTTTGTTAAGATTACCATCATCTATTATAGTGCCACCAAAAAATAATTTTACCTATAAATATAAAAAAATTTAATAAATCAATTTGATTTTAAAATTTATTGATATTACCTGTTCTTTTCAATACTAGAGTTTGTAAAATGCCTTAATGATAATTTATGATATTTTAAATCACGCATAAATTATGCATATATGATGTAATATCTGTTGCACTATAAATGCCTTCTTAAATTATTTGTTTTTGCTGAAAAATTATTGGACAACAAAAAAGTTTAATCCAATTTTTAGCATCTCTTTCAAATTCATCAATTTCAAATGTATGATTTTCTTTCTTATTATACAATATAATCTATAAAATTCATGTCATAATTCTTCTATATTTTATTCTCACTTTCCTAAAATAAATGCACTAACTGGAAAATTTTCTAAAATTATTTTTTTAGCTGAACCTATTAATGATTTTCAAGTCTATTTTCTATTTGAAGTTTTTGGTATAAAAAATACAAAATATCTTTCATGTTTTGTTCAATTACATTTAAAATTTCATTTTTAAAATTTTTTTTTGTAATAATTTCATTAAAAAAAAATTTAAAAAACATATCAACAATTTGTAATAAAATATGTAATTCATCAGAAATCCAATTATGTGTTTTAATCATTGGTAATAATGAAGGATTTTTTTAACCTTTATATATAATATAATTAAATTAAATTTTATAAAATAATAATAAAAATTATATTAAATTTTTTACCTTTTTGATTTTTACTATTAAGCTATACTTGATTCATATTAAATCTATATTCTTTATTACATTCACAAAATAAATAACAATATTTAAATTAGCTACATTTTTATCTAATATAATAGCCATATATTTTCAATCATCTAAAAACAAAATTCAATATTCTATATAATATAATTATATATATAAACTATTTGTTTATAAATTAATTAATTCTTGTATAAAAAACTCATTGCTGATTTTATTGATATATAATTTTCTTATCCAATATATAAATAAATACTAATATATAAATTATTTAAAAAATATTAGTTTATTAAAATATTATATATAATAAAATATACAACTCATAAAAATTTAAATATTAATCTATATTGATGATCAGGTTTTAATACTTTATTCTTTTCATTTAAAAGACAAATAGTTAACATAATGTGATTTTGATTTCTTTTTACAATTCTTCTATCCTACTTAATTTAAGAAAAAAAGTATCATTAGGTGTTATAATAGGTAAAGTTGATCTTATTCAAATAGGAATCAATATTTTAAGTATATTAGTTATTGATCTATATACATTATTATTAAATATTTTTTATATCAATAGTTATTTCCTCTATAAATTTATGAATTAAAGACTGATTTTCTATAGGTTTATTAATTTTAAAAGTTAATATTAATATTTATTTCTTTATTTTATCATTAATTATAATTCTTATTTCTGAAATTAAATGTTTATGCTTCATCTGTGGATTTACTTTTACAAGTCTACAATAATTATCTTGAGAAATTTATGCTTTATCACAAGTATGAATAATTGTATCCAATCCGAATTTATTAACTAAACCTTATCAAAAATTAAATATAACAATATTTTTATTGATTTCTAATTTAACAAATTATAAAACTGCTACTTCTTAATATGTTAATAAAATTAATTTATGTTTAGTAATAAGTGATTCAATTTTTTGATAAATATCAGTTCTAAAATTAATAAGTTATTTATTTTATTAAGTAGTTTCAATTTTAATAAATGAGCATTTACAATTATTAGGAGAATTAGTAGCTCGCTAATTTTTAAAAAATCAAATCAAATCTAAAAAGATAGACATTTGATATTAATTTACTTGTAGATATTTTAATATTATCACACATTATATTCTAGCATATATAAAAATATATTAATATATACAGTCAACTCTAGTTATAACGAACTCTATGTCCTAGAACTCAACTTCGCTATAAGGCTATAGTGAAGATTTTAAGAGATTTGATTAGCCAATTCGTTATAACAAGAGTATTTTTATTATATTTGTTTAAAAAATTTGTTATATCAAGAGTTCGCTATATCAAGAGTTGACTGTACAATGTATTAAATAGCTAAGAATAAATATAAATAAATAATTTAAATAAACTTACTTCTATTAATAATTTTGCTATATGATTAGCTAATTTTATGCTTTTAATTATTCGTTCAATACTATCTTTATTAGTCTAGGTAATTTGAAATAATATTTGAGAATTTTTTAATATGTTGCTTTGCAAATGATTTAATAATCTGATTAATTTGTTTTTACTTTATATTTATTTAAAATTTTGTATTTAACTCTTAATTTATCTTTTTGTAAAATATAGATTTTGTAAATAATATCTTAAAGATACTAGGTTATATAATTTGTGATAAACTTTTCTATTTATATTTTATACTGCTTAAATAAAGAAACTAACCAGATAATTATGTTCAAAAATTTTAAAGCTAATATCTGAATTTTCGGTTATTTTTAATAAAATAATTTAATTTCTATTAAAAAATAATAAAAATATATTATTTTACAAAATAATAATAGACACATTTATTTTGAAATAAATTTATTATGAATTCACATCTCAAATATCATTCTTTTTAAAATTATTTAATTGGTTTTTTATTGTTTAATTAATATTAAACTTATCACTTAACCAATCAGATCTTATTATACTAATTACTTAACCAATAAGAGTTTATAATATTTATTATAATCTTATATAATTTATTTATAAGATAATTAGGATTCACCTATATGATCTTTTATATGAATATTTAGATTTAGTTGATCTATGGCTTTTTTGCTAATATTTTCATATTCTTCTAAATCTAAAAATTTTAAATTGAGATATGAGCAAGCAATTTCTTTAATATTTATATTAGTAATATTACTGTAATTAAGATCAAAATCTTAAAACTTTAAACAAGAATATATAATATTATAAATTGATAATTCATTAATAATGTATAGTAATTTAAATCAAGATATTCTAATTTTTGACAAGTATTGGCAAATGTTTCAATAATCTTATTACTAATATTATTACTATTGATCTTTAAGTATTTTAAATTCAAAGATCTATAATAATAGCTATAATCAATTTATTATTTCTTGATGCTATGATATCATTAAAGTCAAAATACTTTATATTGAAATATTTTCGCAAAAAGTATTAGTATTTTTAATATCTTCACAACTAAATTTAATATCAAGATTTCATAAATTTAAGCATGAGTTTAAGATATAACATATAGATTTATTTATGATCTAACGTGTTCTAGTAAAATGAAACTCTAATAAATTATGATAATTTTTTGCAATTGCAAATAAAGAAATACTGGTAATATTTCTATAATAAGATATATCTAGAAATTTTAATTTTTGGCATAATCATATAATTACACATAAACCACTATTAGTTATTACTTAAGCATTTCATAATTGAGATAACTTATCGCCATTTTTAAATTAGTGTGATTAGGTGATTTATCAATCAATTTAAAAAAAAATTTAAACACTAAAAACATTTGAAAACAACAAAAAAATATTTAAAAACACTAGAAAAATATTTAAATAACACTTAAAAAAAATAAAAAAAGTAATATTAAAATACAAAAAATAAATGTTATATTAAAAATAACAAATTATATAATAAAATTAAACAATTTTTTCATTCTCATTATTGAAAAAATAAAAAATCCTTCTATATAATAAAATTAAACAATTTTTTCATTCTCATTATTAAAAAAATAAAAAATCCTTTCAAAAAATGAATAATTTTTCTAGTAATTTAAAACATCAAATATTTCTAAATATATTTATAATAAGAACATATTAGATCTATGAAAAAATTAACAATTATTGCATTTTTTTAAAAAAATCAAAAATTTCATGTTAGAATGAATTATTATAAAAATGATAAAGACTCATTTAAAAAAAACCCATTTCTCATTACTTAAAATATATTTTATAAAAAAAAAAGCTTTTAGAAAAAAACTTATTTAGGAATTATGACAGGAATTTTACCAATAATTGTAGTAATCACTAGGAAATCATTTTGAAATCGCTAGGAAATTAGGAATCATTTTATAAGCTAAAAAAAACTTCTACATATTAAATTTTACTAATACATAAGACTCAAATACTTTATGTTATGAAGGTTAATAAAAGTTAAAAAGTTTTGAAAAAACAGTTTCTTTAAAAAAGGTTTTTTAAAGTTTACTTTAGTATAATCTGAAAATCATTTTTTTATTATAATTGATCGACAAATCATCTGATCACACCATTTTGAAAACGGTAATAAAAACATAGAAAGGGCATGACAAAATTATTTTGAGAAGGCATCTATAACGTGAAGAATAGATTTTTTACAACTAAAAAATTTCTGTCTTAAGAAGGATAATTTTCACAAAATTTTACAGGAAATCAGATTTAAGATTTGCAAACATCGTAATGCTGGCTGACATTAAGTTTTGCCAGAATTTGCGAATAGTAATGTTGGCTGATCTTGCACAATTCTGGCCAAATCACAGAATTTCACTGTCCCCAGAATATATATGAAAAATGAAAAAGGGAGGGGATGGCACATGCGATGAATAATTTTAAAATCATTACTAATATTAATTAATAAAAAATTTCATCATTTTAATTTTTTAATCAAAATATTATTACAAAGTGTTGAAAAATTTAAAGAAAAATCTTTTAATAACTTTATCTTTTATTTTTTTTTGATAAATATATATTATTTATATGTAATATCATCAGTTAATATATATTGTTATTAACCCGATGGAAACTGAGATTAGTTTATATTCTGCTTGTCACGCAAACATTAGATGCAGAATGACTTTTAATTAAATACAAATATTTGTATCAGATCGACAGATCATTTCTAATAAGGGTTATGGTTTTTTTTTTTTGAGCAAAAAACTGTTTGCGAGACTAGCACGCGAGAAATCATTTTCCGAGATGGAACATTCACCTAGCGAGTATATACGATGTTTAGAATTTTTTTCTGGGATAGGCGGTTTGGTAAAATAATTTCTTTATTTTTACAAAAAAAAGAAAATAAGATAATTTATCTTCTTATTATTGTTATTAATATTAGCATTATGCTTTCATTCTATCCGAAACTAAAGGAGAAGTTGTTGCAAGTTTTGATATAAATATTATTGCAAATTCCGTATATAAACATAATTTTGGGAAAGATCCTATTACTGTAAAGAAAACAAGTTTATATTTTTTTTCTCTTAAGATCAGAAATCATTATGACAAGGAACAAATTACGAATTCAAATATATATATATATTTATTTTTTTATTAAAAAAAAAAAAAAAAGAAAGCAATAGATTCTTTGGTTATTAAAGATATTGAGAAATACAAAGCTAATTGTTGGTTAATGAGTCCACCATGTCAACCTTATACAAGAGGGGGAAGATATTTAGATGATAAAGATCAAAGAGCAAAGGGATTACTACATTTAATAGATATTTTGCCTAAATTATCAGATCCTCCTAATTATGTCTTTCTTGAGAATGTTTTGAATTTCGAGGTAAGTTGAAGTGATTTTTTAAAGTTACATCATTTTATGAATTTAAAAGGACGTCTTCTTTTGTAATCTTTTAGAAATCAAAATGTCGAGAAAAATTAGTTACTCAACTGTGTTTAATGAATTATGAAATAACAGAATGCTTGTTAACTCCATTACAATTCGGAATTCCTAACGATAGGTTGAGATATTATTTATTGGCAAAAAAACGATCTGATTTAAAGGATTTGATTGTACCTCATGAATTTTTGGAGAATGCTGTAATTCATTTAACTTGGCCGTTACCAAATATGCTAAAGAAAAATTATCAACAAGAAGATTATTCTAATATATTTAATATTCCTCCATTGAGCTCATATTTAGAAGAATTAGAAGAAGAAGGGATTAAAAAGCATTTGGTTCCAGAAAAATACATTTTGAAGAGTTTTAATTTTAGATTTGGTAAGAATTAAACTTTTCATCTTTTTTATTTTATTTTATTTTTTTTTTTAAAAAAAATATATATTTAACGGTTATAAATGTATTAGATATTGTTCTTCCATCAGATCACAAGTGTTCCTGTTTTACCAAAGTAAGGTGAATGTAAGATGTAAGATGCTTTTTATTAAGAATTATAATTAACGTATAGTTTTTCATCTTAGTCATATGGTAGCCATCATATATATTCCAGCGGAAGTTTGCTTCAAACAAAAAATTTGGAGGTATGACAAGTGGCTTTACTAAAATACAAATGCATTTAACTTATTAGATTTACCTTTAAAAAAAATTTTTTTTTTGTAGTTTACAAATTATAATTTTGAAAATCCATCATCTTTATTAGATATTGAGTTGAGATATTTTACACCTGAAGAGGTTGCAAATTTACATGCATTTCCTATTAAATTACAACATTTTAAAGTGGTAACTTTTTTTGAAAATCCATTAAATGAAGCAATTTATCAAGAAACATCAATTCCAAAATCATATAATTTTTCGAAAAATAATTATAAAGGATCATCTTTTGAATTTCCTGAGAATATTAGTACGCTGCAAAAATATAAACTGTTGGGAAATTCTTTGAATTGTTTTGTTATATCAGAATTATTAAGGTGTATACTATTTTTATCATAAAGGAAAAAAATTGATTGTCTTTTTAAAATTATATCATGTGCGACATAATGTGGGTATCTCATTTTCTAAAAAGAAAATCGATGTTAAGGTAGAATTGGTAAAGATTTCATCATTAAATAAACCATTAAAGATTTTAAAAAAATTTTGTTAAAATTTCTTAAAATACGATCATAAATGTTGCTAATTAAAAATTATTTTTAGTAACATATACCGTATAAATACTTAATAAAATAGATATGATGGATGCAGAAATTTGAATCATTGAATTATTGGGTATGCATGTCGCTTTATGCAAATTACTTTTTTAAATCAAATATCCTTTTTGAATAAATTAAACTTTGAAATATAACAACCCCGGTATTCGTGTATGTACACATGACAATTTATTTTTGGATCGACTATAAATATTAAATACTTGCTTAATTTAATGCATAATAATTTATATTTTTTTGTCAATTTCATTAAAACATAATTGTGTATTTACCATTCTTAGGTTGGTAATGAAAATGAAAAAACAAAATTTTTTTTATTATTGAAAATTTTTTTTTTTTTTTTAAAAAAAAAGATCATTGAAATGTTAGATGGTGTAGTGATACATATACATTCTTTCATAGGATTCTATTTGGGATAGTATTACTTGCACAGTCACCACAGCGATATTTTAACTGGTAACTTGTGCATGTCCCCGAGTTTTTATTTGGTGTCTTGAAAGAAAACCAAACGGCAAAGTCCGAAGATTATCTACATAAATGACAAGTTTTTTAATTTCCGTAAAAACTCCTTGAACTATTAAAATTTCTTTGAATATAAAAAAAAAAAATTTAGTATACATTAATTAACCTTAATAAAAACAATAAAAAAGTCAATTTTACACAGCATCATTTGAAAGGAATTTGGTTAATATGCTTGCTTTTCTTTCAAAAATTACCTTTCTTTGAATATCTAATCGGATCAAAGCACTCATTCTTTATTTTGCACTTAAAGAAAACAACACAATGACTTTCCCAAACAAATTGTTTGAAGACAATAAGGTTTGTTTTGTTTTGTACTTTTACGACTTTTACGTCAAAATAAAAAAATTTCGATCACGTGATTCTGGATATTTTGTTGACGAACATAGCCCATAAAAAATGGTAAGCCGGATTTAGGGTTTAGGATTAGGATTAGGGTAGAATTAGGATTAGTAAAGGGGTTAGCAAATCGCGTCACATCCCAATTTACTAAGTACAGTATTCTGGGGACAAAAATTTTTTTGTGAGAAAAATGCTAATTGTCACAATTATATGTCACCTAATAAGTATATGTGACCCGGCAAATAAAATCCGGCTACCATTTTTTCTCGCCGTTATATTTTGTTTAATTCTGGCCAAAGTTAAAAATTCAATACTTTTGAAGAACCACATCCTCAGTACCAAAAAAAAAAAATATAAAAGATTATATGATGAGACTATGAGGTGACTATACGAGCCGAGCGCTTCGCAGTAGAAATGACCAAAAAAAATTCTTTTTTAAATAAATGTTAAAATCTGAGCTTATTTTTACTAAAGTAAATTTAAACTAAATTTATAGTTTCTTTCTCTTTCTACTAAGCAATAATTTTGGTAAAAACACTTCAGATCCGAAAAACTTTGTTTATAAAATAAAAATTTCTCATGATTGGTTATTTACAATTCGATGATAATTAAGTAATAAATTTAATAAACAAATATTTAATCGATCTAGATTCTGTCCAAATTTAAGGTTTCGATAAACTTTAATTTACGAACAATATGATTGATTTCATGTCATGTGAAAAAAGATACTTGTGTTACACTCAAGTTATATAAAGAACAATTCTTAGTTAAATTCTTAACCTTTTTTTTAACACTTTTAGCAGGAGAGATTCTAGCAATTGACAATTCAATATAAAAGTGACCGTCATTTCATCATTTTAAGAATTCTCAAGACTTGTCATTTAATATTCAAGCTTTTGAAGGCTTGTTATAATATTCTGTTCACTCTCGATATACCGAATTCACTGTTAAAAGACAAAATCTCGTTATATCGAGAGTTTACCGAATGTCAATGAAAAATTATTGAAAGTGAAAAAATCATTTTTTTTTTTTAGTTAAATTTCTTTATATGCTTGGGTTTTACAATGCACATTGAATGCAACAAGAATTGCTTTATGACAGATCATGATCCTGGTATGTGATATTGCCATTCAGTTAAATATCATTCTACCTTCCCTATTTGACATATTGGACAACCTAATTAAATTTGTGTAATATCAATTATAATTGCGAATGATGTGCAACAAAGTAAAATGAGTTATCGTTTTTCTCGAAAATAAACCACCCTAATATTACGATCCTTTTTCACAATTTGTGTTGGTTAAATTGTGAAATCCTTTGGGTGATTTTTTTTTCGGGAAAATATGTTTTACATTGTAAAAAAATGCAAGTTCCGAATGCAAGTGAATCTTTTTTTATTTATTGAAATTAGCTAAAGTAATTATTATTCCCATCGAGAACAAATCAATTCAAATAAATAAAACCAAGAATTTTATAAACAAAATTGTCATTTAAATCAACAGAATCTATCTATGAATTCATAACATTCTTCAGTCAAGAAACTCCTTTATGACCTAAGATGGAACTTCTACAAGTATTATAAAGAATCAAATATTTTATTTGGTTGTCAATTTCAAATGAAATGATTTAGGTCTATACATGAATAAATAAAGAAATATTAATATGATACCAAACATGGATATAAGGAATTCAACACACCGTTACAAAAGCTCATACCTTGTAAGATAATCAAATCCAAATCTTGACTAATTTTTAAAGAAAAGAATTATTAGTATAAGGCAATGCGTTTATATATTTGTTCATTTAAGCATTACCTACCAAAGTGCAGCCTCGGCCCGAATTCTTAACTCCTACCCAAGCCAAAGCTGGGTCAAGATCTATAAAATCAAACATATCAATGTTTTTAGCTATCAATATTTATTGCATTTACATATTTAATAGGACATCGAGACAGTTCGAATACAGAATATAAATAATTAACGTACAATCACAACGGTTCATAAACCAAGTTCCGGTATCGATTTCATTCCCAACGACTAGAGCAGCATCATGATCTTTGGTCCAAATACTTGCTGTAAGACCGAATTCCGAATCATTCATTAACCGAATAGCTTCCTCATCAGAAGAAACCTGAAAAGTCATAAATACATCAGATCGAATTCATAACAAATAAAATAAGCTTTATACTAACTTTCATGATTCCAATTACAGGACCAAAACTCTCTTCCGTCATGACTCTCATTGAGTGATCCACATTAACAAGAACTTGAGGTGCCATGTACGGTGTGTTTTTCTGATATAAATATAATTGTTAGTAAATCGCTATGCATTAGGATTATGCATCAAATTTCTCAAATCACCTTATCTTGAGGGAATAATTTGATATCTATTAAAGTTTTTGCACCTTGACTAACTAAAAAAGTAATTGTACACGAGAATTTTAATTAGTTTGACTCATAATAGAAAAGTGTAGTTATTATACTAACCAGCTTCTTCAATCTGCTTTCGTACAAATTCTGCAGCTTTGGTACGAACCATTGGTCCAAGAGTTGTGTCGGGTTCCGTTGGATCACCCAATTTATAATGCTAAATATTTAAAAACACCAAACGTTATTCCCATAAATTTAAAAGGATTCACCTTAAATGGAAAAATAAATACCTTTATTAATTCTACGAATTTCTGAATAAATTGATCATATACTTTCTCATGAACATAAATTCGTTCAATTGAACAACAACATTGACCACTATTGAAGAATGAGCCATCAACAAGTTGTTCAGCAGCGTAATCTATGTCAGCATCATATCGTACATATGCAGGATCTTTTCCACCTAACTCAAGTCCTGTTGCTAAAGGACCAAGAAGAGAAAAGAAGACATGTCAGTTAAAAATTTAAAAAATTAAAAACAACTTTTCATCATTACCAATGAATTTAGTACTGGCAGCCCTTTGAATTTCTCTGCCACCCTCAACCGAACCAGTGAAATTTACGAATGCAATAAGTGGACTTTTGATGGCTTTCTCTGCGTCACTATGTGACATATGTAAAATTTGGAACACATAATCTGGAAGACCGGCCTCTTTGAAAGCTTCAGCAAATCTCTCAGCACATAAAGGAGTCTGAGAAGATTGTTTCAAAATAACGGTATTACCTATTTCATGAAATTTTTATTAAGAAACCTATAATTGAGAAATAAAAGCCCGCATCGCATGCAAATGATCACCTGCAAGGAGTGCTGGTACAACACCGTTTACGGAAATGAGATACGGATAGTTCCAAGCTAAAAGATAATCAAGTTCCTTAGTTTTTTAGATATAACAGGGTGAACTTTAATTGATCAAGACATCATCATACCAGCAATTATAAGAATTGGACCTGGAATACATAGGAGAATCTATAAGTCATATTCAAAATATTTTGAACTAACCACATTGAAAAGCAAATCACAAACCTAAAGACTCTTTTCGAATGAACCTTTTAAATCCAGGTTTATCAGAATCCGAGATTTCAACATCTTTGAGACTCTCCTCCGCAATTGAAATCATATAACGTGCACGTTCTTCTGTACCATTAATTTCACTGGGGGCATACTTAATTGGCCTAAATGAAATGTGTAAGTCTAATGAATTTTTGAATACCATATCATTAATTCAATTTATTTTTAACGAACCTTCCCATTTGTAAGGTTAATTCCATTGCAATGTTTTCTTTTTTGGCGACAAAAGCATCAACGAATTTGGACAAAATTTGAACACGTTCTTTGACGGGAACTTTTTTCCATGATTGAAAAGCTGCATATGAACGTTCGATTGCAGTATTAACCTCTTCCGTTGTAGCTAAAGTTCTAGTAACGTATGGTGAATTATCGACAGGAGAAATGGTTACTTGTTTTGCCATTGTCCTGTACGTTTGAATCTCGATTTGTAATTTTTCTAGATAACTAGGAAAGAAAATTTCACATGAATATCCGTAATTAAAGACAGATAAGTTCTTCCAATTATCACCCAAGAATTCAAATTATAAATGCGAAGATTCTATACAAAAAAAAAAATAATAACAATGACAAATTTCAAAACTAAGGAAATTTTTTTTTTGAAAAAAATTTTAATGATAGGAAAATTTAGTGTGAGAAAAATATTGTAGCTTATATGCATGATCATCGCTACACAAAGATCCATGTGTTTTTAGATCTAGGATTCAATTTCGTCATTTTTGTTGCTTTTTTATAAAGAAGGTTTTGAGAAAAATTCCGTTTTATCGGAAATTGGAATCAACCTTCAATTATTAAAATAAGCAAACTTTTACCACAAAGTTATATTATTACGATTTTCTTTACCGTTAACGATTCTTCCTTTAAATGAAAACGCTTCAATTTGGGTTGTTAATTCTTTAATGTTCTTTAAAATGTATAAACAATGGAATAAAATATTTTACAAAAAATCTTGAGTGTATTTAATAAAAATCGTTTGTATTGAACAAAGAGTTAGAATACTATCTAAGTCAACTTTTTCATATAACCAAAAATACTGTGCGATAATAATCTATAATACTTAATATCATTTGACATATATTAAAAATTTGTGATAGTCAATATTTTTAACGCCAATTTATCATTCATTGTGTTCCCGAATAATAAAAGGTTGCAGCTTTTGCGCGTAAAAACGCTTATAAACAATACTTGACCTATATTCCTCGATTTCTTCGTAATAAGTTTTAATAAATTTATCATATTTGTCGCGTTTAATGTTTTCAAATACCAATGTTGAACTAGCATCCATGGTCTTACTGAGGTATAAATGCATCTAAAATTATCATAGACATTTATAAAATTTTTATAAAAAAGAAAAAAAATAAAATATAATGTAATTAAGATATTTCTTACCAATTCACCAAAATTTCCTCCCCATTTTCCAGCTGCAAGTATTCGTTTTTCTATATTAACTTCATCAAAACTTTTTGTAGAATCCATTATATCTTTTAATCTTAACGCTATTTCTGAAAATATGTTTTTTGATTTTAAATATTGACTAACTAAAACATACAGGTATAAGTAAATAAAAGGTCAAAAATGCTTTAAAACGTTAAATTGATTTGAACTTTAGGCAAATTGTGCTTACATTTCTCACTAATACTTTTTGCAATAGGTCCTGCATTAAGCAGGCAAAGTTCTACTTCCATAAATTCTGCATATCCGGAAGGTTTCAAAACCCTAACAATTTCTTTGTAACGACAAATTTCTTAATTTTATATAGTATAACGTAATAAATCTTGCCTCTAAAAAAAAAAAATTTTTTTACCTTTTACCACTTGTAACCATTCCTTTTCAGAGAAGGCAACGTATAGTAATTTTTGATGTACAAAATTGAAAGTGTTTGACGGGAAGGGAAGTCCTTCAAGCACATTGCATTCGATAAATCCGGCATTCTTTGGTTTGTTTTCTGTCGGAAAAATTGGAGACATGTCTAATCCAATAAATGTACTGTTTGGGTAATCTTTCGCGTTTTCGATAACCCAGTGCCCCGCTCCACATCTAATAAATTTTGAATCTTTTTTTTTTTTTTTACTTCGTTGAATTAATTATTTAAATGATATATATATGCTTACCCAACATCTAATACGGAAATTCCATTCCTTAATTTGTCATGCACTGGAGAAGAGAAATTACCACCATATGCACTTTTTAACAAAAGATGAGATAATTCCAATCTATTAATTTCTATTTCATCATTAGGGTATGTATATTTTGAAGAGACATTATGAAAGCGTCTATTATTGATGAATCTAAATTTATCAAGGATATCTTCAAAACCTTGATCTTGGAACCTAAGGGATTGCAATAAGGATCGTAACATTTTGCGAGATTCTTCCCTATTATTATATGTATCGACATTCATGATTTTATCTTATATTAGTTAAAGATTGACAAAAAAGAATTGGTTAAAGGTAAACCTTTTTTTTTTTTTTTTTTTTTTGAATTTGAAAGTGATTAGAATGGTTAGAACCCATTTTTATTTTAAAATTTGTTGCATGTTTTCCGAATGCTCAACAAATAAAAAAGCCATTATAATATTTTTTTGTCTTACCGAGAAAATGATTAAACATTAAACATGCAGGGGGAAATTCACAAACTGTAGTATTTCTTCGGTGGTTATAAATTTGGAAATTTTCCTGCTACTTGCGGTTTCGCAATTATCCATTGCGATAACTGAGAAATAAGATATTCGGGAATTTAACTATAATAATATGCAATTTTATCGGGACTGTCTGAAAATAAGAATCCAAGTTTTAATAAATAACTTTTTTTAGTTGAAATGATGCACAGATTATAAATAAGTTTATATTATTCCGTAATTATGGTAAAAACGGGTTGTTATTGGTTTTCAAAGGAACAGATGTTTCGCGCCCTTTATGTCATACGGAAAATTGTATCACTTTTTCAGTAAGACCTAATTTGATTTTCTTTTTTTTAAAAAAAAAAAAAAAGAGCATCATTACATAATAAATATAAAGACTGAATATATATATGATTTATTATTTATTGTATTACATTTTTCTATCACCTTTTGATGATGAACTCCATTTGTTTAAATAAATACAATTTGCTGCTCGCGTCAACCTAGCTTCTCTTTTTATTTTTCTCTCAAAGGAAATATAAATTTCTTTGAACTCCGCAAGCATAGAAATTTTTTACCATCTTTTTTCTTATTTTTTTTTGCAAGTTACATGAATTTAGATCGGGTTATCTGAATTCAAATATTATTTTATTTGTTTTTTTTTTTGACGTCTTTTTAAACAAATATCCCACTCCAATAATTTTCATCGTAAGATGCCACCAAATTTACGAAAGATGTCACTAAATAATCGTGATTATTCTTTCAAAAATTTAAAATTTAAACGTTTCTTACATTTCATCAATAATAAAAATAAAGATGTTATTGGTGAAAATCATACGAGCACGAGAAAATTTGATAGCGAAAATGAAAGGATTATTAATAGAGGTTTCACAGCACTCTTTGATCCTAATATAGAAACCGAAGATATCAAAGCAAATGTGCTACATTCGGTAACTAAAAAGGTATGGGGAGGAAATTTTTCTTCACCGATTGAAAATAGATTAATTAAAGGCGTTAGAGTACTTGATGTTTGGTACGTTAAAAAAAAAAAAGATAAATATCTATATTTATATATTTAGTCACGTACAAACTTTCTTCATCTTTATATTTAATTCATTCGTTCTTTCAGCTGCGGGCCTGGCTATTGGGTATTAGACATGGCAAAAACTTATCCAAAGAGCACATTCATAGGAATGGATATTTCACCAACATTCTCTGAAAGAGAAAAAATGACTAATGTAGCGTTTTTGGAGTGTAATGTACATGATGGTTTGCCTTGGCCAAATGATACATTTGATTTCGTTTATCAAAGATACGCTTGGGCAAGTTATAATGAAGTCCAATGGAAAAATATCATTTCAGAGATCACAAGAGTTTGTAAACCAGGAGGGATGATAGAATTGATGGAATTTGATTGGGAATTTAAAAACAATAGTCCAATTACTATGAATTATCAAAAGCTTTGTACGTATACATATCGTTTTATCTTTGTTTTACGAAGATTAAATTTTTATAAATGTTAATATCTTTTTTTTCTTTTAAAAAAAAAAAAAAAAAAAAAACGATATATTAGTATCAACTTACTTTTTTTCAAATGGTTTGAATCCCGCGATATCTTCCAAGATTCCATTATTATTAAAACAAACGGATGAATTAACAGACATTCGATCAGAATCGAGGGATTTATCACTCGGTTCCTGGGATGGGTTAAATGGAATGATGGTAAATAAATAATTTATTAATTATAATTATTCCTTTATTCTAAAGAAGTTTTTTATCTAATTCTTAATTATCTTTTTTTTCGAAAAGCATTTAAAATATCATTATTCATCAGTAAATCAATTTGCGAATCATTTATCAAAGGATACAAATTTAAGCGACGAAGAACACAAGTTAAAAATCATTAAATATTTAAAAGAGTCTGAAAACTGTAAAACTCTCGCTACTAATCGAAGATTTTTCGCGATAAAAACCACACATAAAAAAAATAGACATACATTAGATAATAACTCTTGCAATTAATGTTTATTAAATTTCTTCAATTATGATGTACAGATTTATTTTAAGTGATATTCAAAATGTTTATTAAATTCATATTGAAAAAAAGGATAAAATACTCGCATACGTTGATCGCCTTATTAGTTTTTCTTTTTTTTTTTTCATTGGTTATTTGCCTCAAAACCGAATTTATACTGCATGAAATTACTCTATACAATATCGGTTATATAATAAAGTCGAGGTATATTTTTGTCTCAATTAAGGACAAATTTGAAACTCGAGTTTTATCTAAAAAAGTTTCCTCAATGATTAGTAATTAAATTTAATATTAATTTTTAATCATCATCGTCGATACAAATAAACTAAAATTCGTTCTAACCTTAAATTGATATCACAAAAAATTTTTAAAGAATGATTGACTAAATGAAGTTTCATAAGTAGCGGTTATTTTATCAAATGCAAATATAATAGTTGGTCTATCATTTCTTTTTGGCTATCATCTCGCCACTTGTCCTAATATTTATATCGGCTATCTTGGGCAAAAGCATCTCTTCATCTTTTTTTCCTTTCGCGTATTATTTTTCTTTTTTTTTAAAAAAAAAAAAAAATGTCTTTTTGGTCCAGTTCTTATTACTTAAGATACTGTGCCATTCAACATTCACATGTTACTTCTTTGTAAAAAAAACACCTTTTTTCTTTTTACAATTCCAACCTCTCTTTAAATAATTACACAAAATGTTAAAATCCGTAGCATCATTATTTAAGACAACTAGCACTAGTACCACTTCAACAGCGGATATTAAAACGGATATTACTTCTTTAAATACTATCAATACTGTTGAAAATTCTACCGTTACTGTACCAAAAGAAACAGCAACGAATGACACTCCTTTAATACATCTAATAAGACAACAGCGACGACAAAAGTTAGAAGAAACGGTATTAATGCGCAAAATTGCTCATCAATCGTTAACGAACCATTACGAACAGGATCATTTACCTCTTTCACATGTACAAGAAAAGTTAAAAGACGACGAGGCTCCTTTGGTACAAGTACAACAACAATTGGAGCAGCAAAAAAATGACGCAGTAATTTATACCGCTACCAAGGAAAAATTAAAATCAATATTTTATAATCAAAGAATGTCGTACAGCTTTTTAACTAAACCAATACAACCTAGACACACCATACCTACTTCAAGCGCTAATACTAGTAATAATTCTACCGAAAGTATTTCTACCGCCAATAATGACGTTGATGATAAAGATTATGATGTTTGGGATGATGCAGTTATCGGTCGTATTATGAATTTAGTCGATACTATTGGAGTAGATTCTACTCAAGGAACCACTCAAGAGACCGAGAATACTTCCTCTGAAAATCCAATTGAAAATGTGACAGAAAAGGATGGTTCAAAAGATAATTCAAAAGAAGAACCAATGGTTTTCATGAATGCTCGAGAGAATAGAATCGAATCAATGACGGAAGGTTTGATCAATTTTGACGAAATAATTAGCGATAATCTTAAACTTTCTTCAAACGAATCAGCAAAAGAAAAGGATATCACCGTTTCTAACGTTACTATTGAAATCACTCTTCGGAATAAAAGATCAGATAATTTATTACGTGATTCCGGCTATGGTGAAAAAGCAACGTCAAGGGTGGATA